CACAATGTTTGTAAAACATTTTTCAGAAAAACTTTGGATGTTGGTGAATCCTATATCAATCACGCTCTACTAAATAAGAACCAGGGGATATTTGCTGGGACTGAAAAAAGGGGACACCACAAACCACATAACAAGACTGCCACCGGTGCACTAAAAATGGTTCGAGAGCACATAGAATCATTCCCAACAGTTGATGCTCACTACACCCGGCGAGATACGAACAGGAAGTTTTTGGGATCGACATTAAATATAAAAAAATGTATGAACTGTACAAAGACTAGTGCACCAGTGAGGCTACCAAAGCAGTGTCATCATCACTTTACAGGAAGGTGTTCACCGAGGAGTATAACTATTCCTTTCATATACCAAAAAAGGACCAGTGCTCTCTGTGCCAGAAGTACTACAGAGAAAAGGAGAGTGGGTCAGTTCAGCAAGAACTTGAACAGAAGTACACCCAACACCAAGAGAGAAAAATGAGAGCCCGTGAAGAAAAGATAAAGGACAAAGCCCTTGCTCTGAAGGACAAATCCATTTTTGTGGCAACATTTGATCTGGAGGCTGTATCGTATTCCCCATGCTCACTTGTCAGTGAACTTTTCTACATGAGGAAATTGAACTATTACAATTTTACAGTGTACGATTTAGTCACAAAAGGAGGCACATGCTTTGTATGGTCGGAAGTGGATGCCAAGAGGGGATCATGTGAAGTTGCATCTTGTCTGCAAATTCAGCTGAAGGCTTTGCCACCAACCGTCAAGCATGTAGTTCTGTATTCAGATACCTGTTCAGGACAGAACAGAAACCAGTATGTCGCAGCCTCCCTATTACATGTTGTGACCACTATTGAACACATAAGTACAATTGACCACAAATTTCAGGAGCCAGGCCACACACAGATGGAGTGCGATGCAATTCATTCCACCATTGAATTTGCCAAAAAGAATACTAGCATCTATGTGCCAAGCCAGTGGGACACTGTTATAAGAATGGCCAGAAGAAAGGACCCTTATATTGTCGTCCCAATACAGTTCACCGATGTGATGGACTTTAAGAAATATGCCCATGGTAGACTGAAAAACACCAAAATTGATACAGATGGTGGTCGTGTGAACTGGTTGTCAATGTGCTGGATGCGCTACATTACAGGCAACCCAGAAAACATCTTCTTCAAGACTGAGCACAGCAATGAGCCATTCAGAGAACTGAAAGTGTCTACAGGCAGCCGCCGGGGAAGACCTCAGAGTATCTGTGGACCTCTGACCCGAAAGTACTCGGGAAAACAAGCAATTTCTTCAGCCAAGAAAAAAGATCTCATGTCACTCTGTCGGTCGGGTATTATACCGAGAGAGTATCACAACTATTACAAAGAACTCCTGACAGATGCTGACAAACTAGAATGCCTCCCCGTTCCTGACGCCTTAGAGCAGGATACGGACACTGATACAGACTAAAGCTACGACACTGAAACAACAGTCGTTGCTTTGTGCTATTACATGGTGTTAGTTATAATATGATTGTGGACATGGGTGAGGTTAGTGTAATTATCATACTGTCATAGTTTGGTTTTATATATTTCTTAGTCACTTTCATTTAAATGGAATGTCATGTTTCCAAGAACAGGTTATGTTGTATTATTTCCTGACTCCTCATTTACTGTAAAGTGTTCTGCTATATATTTCCTCTTTTTGCAAATTTAACTCCCGCATATAACTTGCACACAATATTTCACACAAATCACCTTTTCCACCAAACGACATAGTTATGCAAACCTTTTCCTATAAGACATTTAACAAGTTTAAAGTGTATGAAATAGTGTTAAGAGGTGGATATCAATATTAATTCTCAATTCAAGAAATGACATTTAAATTTTGAGAAGTCATCAAATCATTAACGAAACGAAATACTACTCATTATTATTCACTGTAAAATGAGGCGAAAATGTTATAAAAACAATGACTGATAAATGCATTTTATCATCCAAAACTGTGTCCACAGGAGATATTGCTTGTGTGAGATCAGACGAAATCTCCTAGGACATATCGTTTTGAGAGTAAATTTTGCACAATGCCCTGACAATGCTATGACGTCATGAACTTGATGACGTCACATTGCTATGACATCGCTGCACTGCGAGTTCAATGGCAGTACTGTGTTCAGAGATGAACATTTTTCATTGAAAGCTAATGAAGAGTGATTTTTGATGATAAATATAATCTCACCCTCGTGTCTTCTGATATCAAATATATCAACACTCGTTGATCAAAGTAAACATATCGTCAAGCCTCGGACATTTGTTACTTTATCAACTCGTGGTGATATATTTGATATCAAAATACACTCGGGTGAGATACTCTATATACCAAGCGGCTTAAATTATTACTCAGATCGTTACATTATCCCTAATTTGACTTAATATGCAATGGGCTTGTCTGTGGTTGCGTATTATGTGTATGTTTGTGACTGTGCGTGATTTTTCTTCTATTCTATTTAATTTGAAACTATACTGTTTATGAATTTCTGTTTACATGTAGTATAATATTGAAATAGTTAAAAATACTGAAACACTTACAATGTCTTATAGTAATTGGTTTTATTCTTCAATAAAGAAGTACACGGTAATGATGCATTGTGGAACTATGTTGAAAGTATTGAGACGCTGTTGTCATGAATATATCTAAAAGAAAGTCTTGAAGGTGGTTTAAGCAATTACTGATGTCTTCAGTGATAACAACATGTGAAGATACAATCTCACAAGCACAATTTAAGGCGAGCTATAAGTAAAATGCATTCAATAACAGAAAGGCAGTTAGTGCTGGTTAATGGTTCCAGCCACCAGCTGAGAGTGTGGGATACTGCCGAAAGCAGCTTTACCGCGGGATATGGTTACAGGGCTTAGAGGAAACAGTGGTTGGCGGCTGTGATGATATGGGTGATCTTGAGATCAGGTGTCATTGCTTTTAGTTGGCTTCCGCATTGATACAATTGTTGGGGCAAAGATAATGCTCCCCGAGTTAGTGGAAACTGCGACACAGGGAAATCGTAGCCGCAAACTATGCCACAATCCCCTGTTTAAAGATAACCGGATTCTTGACTCGGGGACAGACATATTCTCAACATATTCTTAACTGCCATACACTGTGTTTGTAATTTAACTGGTTCTCGCTCTCATGTTTACAGAGCCCAGAGTGTTTTACATTTACGCCAGAACAAGCTAAAGTTTATTTTCGTCATACCTTTTTAATTAGGCTGATTATATTTATGGTTGTATAGTAACATGAATGCACCAACATACTCTGTCACCTAGTCACAAAACAGTAAAAAAGAATTTATTAATTTTTTTTTTATAACTGTCCAAACATTTGAGTGCTGTTTCTCGAAATGTGCCTGTGTGGTTATAAGTGGTTCTGGCTCTAACCCCTCGATATATATATATTGCATAGATTAATAAAAACAAAATGCCGTTTTCTCCAACATGTTTCGTTCTTTACTCTTTTTCCCTGAAGAGTAAAGAACGAAACATGTTGGAGAAAACGGCATTCTGTTTCTATTTATCTATGCAATATTTATGACTGAACACCTGTACTACTTTTGACATTTTGTGCGTACAATATATAAGAAGAAGTTTCTGAAATAATCACACGACACGGATAAAATAGTTTAAATAAGGCAGTGAAAGTCGGTAAAATAAATGTGTACATAGTGAACTCAAAAACAGCTAATCCAACGGTTTCCGAACTCCGTGCACTGCATGCGCCATATTATGGCGTCATACGATTGTTAGCGATACAGCATATCGGCGGAGAGTTTGACGGTTACCGTGGCAGCGGGTAATATTTTGTCCAGTTGTCACCCACCTGGGAGGGGTGACACCACTCTCCTACCCAGAGTTCCATGTGGCAAGCCTACATAGTATCTCAGCCACAGGCCAGAAAAATGTGACGATTCGTCACATATTGCACCGTCCATTCAATATAATTTACATATTTCTCAACTCTTATTTTTGACGAGTCTACACATCTAATTAAACATCTTTGATAGAATGGTTTAGTTTCATTGAGAAAATATCCTAAAACATGTAACACTATTTCGATTTGCGTAGCGATGCTTTGTTTACATAGGTTGTACGGCTCCACGTGCTGTCATCGAAGCTGATGGAGAGCAAACGATGCAGCCAGTTTGATATCGAAATATATACTGTCATACCTTACTGTCGCAGTTGTGGAAGAATATATACAATGTATGTAACAATGTAAAACATTATGAAGAGAGCGCCGAAAAGCTTTCGTGAGTCCAGTCTCTTCTTATTGTGAATATGAGAACAAGAGAAAAGTCCGGGCACGGCAAATTAGCCTGTGGCAGTGATGTTATGTTAAGTCATCGCTGTGCCGGAGTGTGGGGTCACACGGAAACTTGTTAAAGCGTCATTGACCAATGAAATTAAAGTATTTTACATGAAGATAAGATAAGTCCTACAGTCGGTAGTTTTATCTTAGTTTAAAGTAAGATAAAACGTAAACTTCCCACAGTTCCCGTGACTGATCAGATCTATATTATTCAAAGTCTATTATGTTTTGTTTATTATCACATGAATCACGTAAATTTTGACTTCCCGCAGTTCGTATGACCGCTCAGAGAAAATGTTACCCCAAGTGTTTATAGTTTGTTTGTTTACAAGACCGTATAAGACAGGACTTGAACTTCCCGCAGATCGTGGGACTGCTTCGAACTATACGACATTGCAGGTACCACACATTTCACGAGGAACCTGCACTGACACTGGAAGCACGTCACACACAGGAATGTTCCAAGATAATGTCACCCACAATGTTAATGTTTTGTTTCTTGTTGCTGTATTCAATGTTTATTAGATATAACTATACATACAGGCCTGTCACACGAAAATAACATAAGCAGCAAACTGTAATAGACTCGCACCACCTAATATTTATTCCCAGTTTCATTTAAATCACTGTTAATAATTAAACGTTTTCGGTGTCCAGATGCCACACAGCTTGACGTGATTCCAATGCAGAATAATGTCAACTCAGACCCTTCTGACAAGCCCTTGGACGCACCACAGGCTCATGTAAGGAAGTGTAAACCTACTTACTTCACTTTGTTTCAACAAGTATACATGCCTAACCTGTTATCTAAACTACCACCGTACCAATCTCAAACTGGACTAAATTGTAATGTGCAATCTTACAAATTATTTTTCTGAATACAAATTGAGTGGAAGAGATGAAACACTCAAACAGTTAATGAGTTGGCAGGCAAGACAGACAGTCAAAGTCGGTCTGAATCTGTGCATCTGAGCTCTCAAGGTTATCGCCATTATATCTGGCGGTGTGAACCTGGCGTGGGTACAAAGCCTGACAATGACCATAAACGTGGCATATGACCAATGAGTATTTCTCCTGCGATCCTAATAGAGTTTGTTGACTGAGTGTGAGGGTATTTGACCCGTGAGTCTTTTGGTATTCTACAAGTGCGTAGAGTTTGACGTGTAAAGCGAGCCTAACCAAACGATCCCGTTAATCGCCGCTTACGACAAGCACGGGTTACTGAAGACCAATTCAAACCCAGATCTTCACGGGTATGTGAATGGTACTATTTGACGTGTGCGTGTAAAGATGCTTGACATGCGGGTGGAATGGTGCTTGAAACGTCAGAATGGTATATTTGACGTGTGGGTGTGAAGGTGCTCAAGACGCGTGAAAATAGTGCTTTTTAAAAGTGAATTGAGAGTATTTGTCTGTGAATGTGATAGTATTCTTCATAGAAGTGGTGTGGTATTCGAAATATGAGTATGGTGGAACTGCACGGCTATTGCCTTTGTTCATTGTTTCAGTACGTGACCTTGAAGCACCTGCTACTGGGGCTACACGTGTTTGTTGTGACAGGCTTCACGGCAACAGTCATCATAGTGCTGGTCGCTGTCTGAGACATCCATGGCAGATGTCGTCATCGTTTGTCAAGTCATCTAATCAAACACAAACATATCTTATACATATGCACGTTGTGACCATTATCGGACGTGGGAAAGGTCATTTCAATGATGGGAAACATTTGACAAATATATCACATACATGTCATTGCAATGATGGGATATGGTAAACACTGGACAGACATTTTGTCAGTAGAATGATGATAGGATTAGATACAGGAAATGGAAAACGATGCTATTGACTTCTGAAAATCGCAATGCATTGAACTGATTGCCATTGAATTTGGCAGAACATACAGGTGTCATTTATATGACTAGAGTAGATGCCACTGACCACAATGGCGTCTGCATGTTCCTCAGGTAGTATTTTGGACTATCTAAATGCATAGTTACGTGTACCATTTTAACTTACTTTTGTCCACTTCACACAAATGCCGAAATTTGATGTTCAGAATTGCAGCCCTTGTCTATATCAGGATCTGCTGCTCCTCGGTTCCAGGTGTCCACCTGATGAAATGATCTTGGGGTTCTTCTACCCTTTTCCACACTTATGGGTGTCATGACGGGTGGATGGCCAGTGTGAACAGGTTGTATGGCGACCTGGGGACACCAATGCAAAGTGCACTGGTTGCACCTCGTTGTGTGGGTGTTTTGGTGATGGTGGTGTAGATGTGCTGTTGGTGTTGTAGATGTGGTGATGGTGTTGTAGATGTGGTGATGGTGTTGTAGATATGGTTGTATTGTTCTAGATAACATGCCACAGCATGATGATTTGGGGTTTCACACAAGGGGTGTGAAATAAAAATGATATTGTGAATCTGAAATAATTTGACCTAATTTGTATTACTGTCAGTGTCTTAATATGTATTGAACAAGATTAAAATCCAAACAAAGTGTAACCATTGTATGTATTTCACTCTTTCAACCAGCACTAGTGTACTGGTGGCTTCACATCCAAGGGCGGAAGTGGTCACATTGCTGGGTGTGGTCACAGTGCTGGGTCCGGCAGGACGATGGTATTCAATCTGTCATAGGACAGTGAGTGAGTGAGTTAATATTTAACGTCACATCGGCAATATCTCAGCCATATCGTGACGACATAGGACAGTGAAAACATGTTGTAACAATTCACCGATACATGTACCTATGTGATCCATACTAAGGTACAGATGATCCTCATCAGCATTTGACATCTCAATCACCGTAAATAGAATGGAACTGATAGAATTACCCCCAGTTATGGCACAGCCAGAAGAAGCAGATCATAGCAAATAAAGTAAACAGTCGCTAACCACGGCTTGTATATGACAGTCAGTGCCAACAGCACAAGAGTTTTCAAGACAAGAAATAATATGACTGAAGAAGAAGAAGACGTTTATTGTATGTTAGGGCTCCGGCCCACATACAGAGTATACAATATATACAGTACCTCACACAGACAGATGTTACATGGGGTATTACATCAATTTGGATATACAATATTTTTCAATGTTTTAAACATAATGACAGGTGTAAATATTGGTATCATATGATTTCTAGAAGTCAAAAAAGAAAAGAATGCAATTTTGGTGGTGTACTTAAGTACTTTTTTGGTATATACAGAATTCTCAGGTTATTAAGGGTAGGACATATAGAGACAAAATGGATTTCATTCTCTATACCTCTTTTACATAACATACAAATCCTTTCATTTTTATCAATCCCTATTTTTTACCTTCATTGATCATTAATCCTGACAAACCAAATCTGAATCTAACAACTCTCTGGAGAGTCCTATGACCATATAGTTTCACCAAGAAGGTCCTTACTCCGAAGGCATCATCTTCCAGAATAAAGCATGGCATATGATCGTCATCTTGGGGTAAGGGGCACGCATCAGGAAATCCTATGCTCCCGTCTTCAAGACAGTCTTTGAGCTCGCACTCGTTGAAGATCTGAGCATCAGACATACTTCCGTAACCACGGACGTCCACCCACAGGAACTTGTAATTTCCATCCACAAGGGCCATGAGGACCACAGAGAAGAAGCCCTTGTAGTTGTGGTACAATGTGCCGTTCTCGGCAGGTTTCCTAATGGCCTGAGGAATATTCCACCTGTTTTTGAAGATGGGTGCCCATTCTTCTGGAGTGGTAGGGCAGGTGATAACCTCATCCTTGTATTCCTCCACAATGACCTTACATACTTCTGGGATGATTAGGTTGAGTGTGTTCCTTGCCACGTGGAAACTGTACATGATGCTGGGGTACCTATCTCCTGAAGCGATGAACCTCAATGGTGATGGCTAGCTTGATGTAGCGCCTTTCTCGTACATGTATATATACTACTCAAAACAAGTTAAGGGTCACAACTTTTAATGGCCATAACTACAAATATAAATAACAGTGAAAGGTAGCGATCATATAACAACTCGAGCCAACATTTCGTGATAACAACAACGGGAGACAAAAACAGCAGGAATGCCAGTTATTGCTGATCAATAAGGTCAAAGTGACCTACTGTCAGAAGTGAAAATCCAAACGCCAGCATTGGACTAATAACGGATGTAACAACCTCGACCAGTAAGACACGCAGTACACCTCTGTCTCATACTGTTCACCAGACGTTTGAAGAAGGCTTGGGGTATTGCCTGCCATTCTGCAATGAGATACTGGGCCAGTTCTGCACGGTTGTTTGGAGGGGCGTTGTTGTTACGAAGCCGACGTCTCAACCCGTCCCAAGCACGCTCCATAGGGGCTAAATCTGCTGAATATGCAGGGCATTCCATGTGCTGAACATCATTCTGTCGAAGGAAGTCCGTCACAACACGGGCACGGTGTGGTCGGGCATTGCCACCTTCGAATATGGATCCGACGCCGATACGTCGTAAACATGGCAAAACAAGGGGTCTGATAATCTCCAGTAGATAGCAATTTCCGGTCAGGTTACCATTAATGATAAAAAGAGAGGTGTCCTTTGATGAAAGGAAAAAGCAACCCAAACCGTGATGCCGCCGCCTCCAAAATCTAATGGCAAACGTTGGTTGACGTTAACGTCAGCAAACCTCCCTCCTGGACGCCGATACACACGAGTTCTACCATAATTGAACTGTTGAGTAAACCTAGAATCGTCGGAGAAAAGAGCTGATGCCCACTAAGCACTTTGCAAACAACCATGGCGTCTATACCAGTCATGTATTGCCGTCGTGTGTCGCTAAAGGAGTGGTGGTCGTACTGCTGATCGCCGTGCCCGAAGTACATTTGTCAGGTATCGGTCTTTTCTATAGGAGTTGTTGATAAGGCCTGCCAGAACGTGGTCGATTATTCAGCGTTCCCCGTGACACGAGACCGTTACCATAACCTTCCAATGGCACTCTTCACTCACATTTAGTCTCTGAGCCAAACTGCGTTGAGGTTCACAATCCTGAAGCCAAGCAAGAGCTCTTCCTCTGTCTGTCTCGCCCAGTTGACGTCTTGCCATTGTTGAATTTCAAGTGACAATAGCAATGCGACAATTGCAAGTTTTATATTTTATAAAATAAGCATGCACAGCACTAATCACACGAAGAACATGTGCAAATGCTGTTCATGATGAAACATCTTCCACAAGCACAGTGGTGGTGCTTTTGTGAAGCACTCTGTGTTTCAGTTTGTTCATTTTTTTAAAACCCTACCACATGATGACTGTTGGCAAACCTGTTATCTGCAGCCTTTATGCAGCTTCTGCAATGGTTTTGAATAAACTGCCATACACGGAATGTAAAATTTCATTCATGTATAATGCAACCAGCCACATCAGTAACATTACATGATGATATCGCAAGACCCTTAACTTGTTTTGAGTAGTATATATTCTGCTTCTGTATTCTTGACCCCACTCCCTGCTCTAACTCATCAAACATAGCAGCTTCCATCCTAAAGTAGTTGATGAAAACTGCGGGTCCTCAATTCTGAGCTCCTCCATCAGTCTGGCCTAATGTCCAAACAGCTTCCTTCCCCTGGCCTCCTCCACATCTCTTTCAATGAGGTCTTGCTGGAGGACAGCAATCTGAAGCAACGCAACATGGTCCCGGGGGTCCATGGCCTATATTGGCTGGGCAGAGACTGATGAATAGTCAACATGTTTTATACCCCATCATGGAACATTCCGGCAGCATGCAAACCAACCGGACTCGTATGGCAGTCGAAATGCATTCTAAATATTCTGAGTATTTTAAAGGCATTCTAAATATTCCTACTATATTCGAGATCTATTAGACTCTAAATGTACATGAATCAGGTTCGAAGTGCATTCTAAGTATAGCAACAGAATTCTTACAAAGCTTGAAATGTATATTTTGACATTCTCTCCCGAATTCGGTTCTGGCTGATTGTCCTTGATTCCTGTCAATTCGAAATAAGCGTGAAGGAGCCTTTAACAATCGCATCTTTAGAATCCCCACACTTCTAAACCGTAAATGAGTGAGAGGGTGAGTTTAGTTTTATGCCGCACTCAGCAATATTCCAGGTATATGGTGGCGGTCAGTAAATAATCGAGTCTGGAAAGACAATCCAGTGATCAATAGCATGAGCATCGATCTGCACAATTGGGAACCGATGACATGTGTCAACCAAGTTAGCGAGCCTGACCACCTTATCCCGTTAGTCGCCTCTTACGACAAGCATGGGTTACTGAAGATCAATATTCTAACCTGGACCTTCACAGGTTCTGAACCGTAAAGTAAAATTGGTTGTATTTTAGAATCGAACAGTTTAAACACGAAGACGTCATCAATATCCCCCGCAACGGCAAAGTACTCTTTATGAATATGTCTACTAGTTATGATTATGCCAAATGTTTTGGAGTATATACAGCAAAGTGGAAGGAGAGTATTGAAAGGTTTTTAAGATCTGCTGCAGAAAGGAGCACGACCACCAAATTCAGTTGAAGCCTAACTTGTTGCAATGGAAATGAAACAAAATGATATCCTCAGAGTCACAGCCTAAGTCACGTTTCCATGAAACCACAAAAAATAAATTTGTAATTTTGTATCTGGGTCTAACAATCAAATGGCATATCTAGGTATCATGCTTGATATGTGTACCAAGTTTGATGAAGCTAGCATGTATAGTTTAGGAGATCTGCTCAGGACAAGCTGACATCCTTAAAGCCACAGCCTAAGTCACGTTTCCATGGAAACCGCAAAAAATAAAATTCATACCTGGTTCTAACTCCCAAAAGGCACATCTAGGGATCATGCTTGATATGTGTACCAAGTTTGATGAAGCTAGCATGTATAGTTTAGGAGATCTGCTCAGGACAAGCTGACATCCTCATAGTCACAGCCTAAGTCACATTTCCATGGAAACATCAAAATATAGAATTCATATCTGGGTGTAACCACCAAAAGGCACATTTGGGTGAAGTTTAGAACTAAATATTTGAATCAAAGCTTTTTTACCACGTACAGACAGATCTAATGTAGATTTCTTGAAGCTGTGAGAAAATACCAAACCAAGATATGAGTAGGAATTAATAACATTGACAGGCTTTGCTTGAAAACTCATGCATAGATGTCGGTCCACCTCTCCTAAATACTGCAATTTTAGTTTGTTACAAATTTATTAAAATCTAAATATTTTAGATATTTAAATACTTACCTTACCATAGGTCTTATGCATATTACCTCAAGCTCCGCTTAAAGAGATCAGACAGTCGTTGATTCGCCATTCTATAGAACGGCCACCTCGTGTATCGACGAGTGTACAGGCAACGGAAGTGACGTGATCTCCCCTCCCGCGCAAGCGCGGTCCATCCAAAATCACTTTTACTGACCAGGTCCGAAGAGCCCAGAGAGGGGAGGAGCATCCAGCGTTGGGAGGGAGTTACCGCCCTATGGTAAGGTAAGTATTTAAATATCTAAAATATTTAGATTTTAATAAA